ACGGTCAAATATTTGCGATACCGTCTCCGGGAACGGGATGCGCAATCTGTGCGGGCATTAGTCTCTTCCGATGCCCAGGCGGGCGCGTCACTTCACCGCCTTCTGGTCGGTCCCTCCGATCGATTGTTGTTGTCCTGGGCCATCAGCATTTGCTGGTGCTCGGGAAGGCCCGGGACTAGTCCTTATGAGGAAGCTGTCCAGGGGATCAATTGAAGCCCGCCGGGGCAATCCGAATGCGCACCGAGGGAGTAGTATGGCCTCGGGTTTCGACGTCTGGGCTTAGTACGTAAAGCAACGAGATCAACACATGGGTGTACTGGCATTTGAATATACGATTACCCTAGGCTACTACAAATGTGAGCCTTGTCGCTCGCGATTGTAATCATGCGCATCAATGGTCTATACGTTTTGTATATGAATGGTCAATGATATATAAAATGACCAATACTGGTCACTCCAGACGAGACACATACGATACCAACAGGCGCGCCAAGATTGAATATTTTGCCCACTCTAAGGGATCGCTCATCCAAACCAGGTCAGCAGGTTGATAATTTGCTCAGCCTCCGATGCCTCCAGTTGCATATGATTCAAGGTCGAGTGTGGCCGTGCTGGGCATTGATTCTGCGGGCGGATACGACCAATGAGAATTCGTGCCGCCAGCAGCATTCCACCCCAATAACAAACCTATTTCCAATCCAACCCTACCAAAAATGGGGTTGTCGGGATGTCGACCAAATTGACCAGAGTGCAAAAAGTGTGGACATACTGATCGTATCTCACGCAAGAGATCCTGATCTCCATTCAGAATGATAGACGGTGTAGACTGCGCATCTGCCAAAGAGCAGATTGGGCAACATATATGGAGAGCATGGACTTCTTCCTCGATTCTTCCTTGCTCCATTCCACCAAGGACAGCAGCTAGTGAAAGTATACAGAATTCTACTCTCAGATTCAGTCATGCTTCTTGCCATATTTATGACTGTATGGGCATTGTCTACCGCCATGGTGAGCAGACG